CTAAATATTGTCAGGAAAAAAAATGTGAGAGATTTGTCTTTCTTGATCAAAATAAAGAAAATTATAAACTCCGTGAAAAACAAACCAATAAATAAACAAAAAATGTGAAGGTGTCCATGTTGATTCATTACTCGATGGGTCTTCAGTAGGGATGTCCCCATCAAGTTGTTTTTGTTCCGATGATTTCAGATCCAGAATCAGTGGGAAATAATTATTTGTTGACACATGATCTCATTTGTTTCTTGCATTGTTTTGCTCTTTTTTGCAGATTACAGAAGTACATTAAAATTATAACCATCAATGCCGTCACGTGTTCAACACCTCAGTAGGTGCACTGCAATAAATAAAACCTGCGTTCATGTTGTTCCACAAATTGTTTTAATATTATCAACAAAGAAATAAAATATGCAGGTGATGGTGAACTTTTTTTTTTTTTTTTGCACAGCTCAGGGAATGCAGCGTCAGGATGTATCGTGGAAACTTACCAAATCTCTTTAGAGTTTTCTCTAAGCGTTGTGTGTTCGTTTTTGGAGTAAGCTGGGTGAACTCGGCTGAGTGCCTGAATTTTAAATGTCTTCAATAAGTCGGTGCACACCGACACAGCCCAAAACATTATCACCAACTTTTTGCCAATTCTGAAATTCTGCGTTATTGTATTTGTGTCATTTATGGCAATCTACAAAAAAAAAAAATTAAATCGTGTCATCTGGACCTGTTTCTTTAAGTGAGAAACGTTTCGTCCCCCAACCAGAGGACTTCATCAGTGTACGGCCTGCCAACAAGATCAGTCCCATAGGTAGCCTTCACTGCTATGTTTCAAGCCAACCTCCTGTTGGAATCTCAGAAGCAGCTTTTAACACGTGCAAACAGGAACCATCCGTCCAAAACAATCCATCATCATGTACAACAATGAAATGTTTTAGTCCAGATGATCAACTTGCTACTCACAGAAACAACCTCACACAAGGCTCAATCATCCAGGTAGATAACAACAAAAAAGGTTAAATCGTGTCATCTACCTGGATGATTGAGCTTACAAACCTTTTTTTTTTTTTTTTATGGCAATCTGTTATAAGAAACATAGTTATGGAAACCATTCGATTTTCTGGGAAATGTTCCCTTAAATGTTCCAGAACGTCTTGATTTGCCATCAAAAGCCGTCTGAAAAAGAAAACGATGTGGGTGCATGGCATTACAACAATAAAAATGATAAAGAGGAACATCCTAATCACCCTTCACATAATGAACTACAATTAACTTATTTTCAGTTGTCCATTTCCTTCTTAACGAGGTGGATTTTTCCAGTGAATGACAAATGTCGGATTCTATTGATCCAAAGCTGAACGACAAACCAGCCCCTGTGCTAAAGCTCACTGTCAAGGTGTCATCTTTTTTTTTAGGTACGACGACAGAGCAGATAATTCAGCTGGAACTATTGTTGGGCCTCTAATGTATTGGTTTTTTCTTCATTCAAAGAAAGCCTTTTCATCCATTTGCCACTAAAAAATGCTGCGTAGGCGTTTTTATCAAGAACAGGAAAATGACTGAATCGGATCTCTGCGAGATTTCCTCCTCCCCTTTCACATGTATACGCCGGCTTTCTGCCGAAGAAATGTTTAAGTCAGTGACGACATGCAGCTTGAAACTTCTCGATGGGAGGAGCTGAGATGGCTTCGCTGAGCGAGCGGTGACCCTTGACCTGCCGTATTATTAGACAGCTTAATGCAAACCTTGGCGTAGTTGACGTCTTTTCCACCCATGAGTGCTGCTGCTTTCCAGGCTAAAACACATTGCGGGACTATTTTCAGCAACAAGGAAGGAATGTGTGAAATTGGAAACGATTCAGGACACAAAATGATTCCAGTAAATACTAAATGTGAAGAAAGAACGTCTGTTAACTGATGCCGTCACAAAACAAGCACGGAGGCCGTCACAAGCAGCTCCGACATGAAGCTCTTTAAGTTTCTAATTCTTCTTCCCTAAGATTTTCAAATATTGTGTTTGCAACAAATCTCATGCAGCAGCTTCTGTCACGGTAACTTGCAAGGTATCCTGACACACACACACACATGGGTGTGTGTTTATAACAGAAATAGTAAAGTCCAACATAAACCGTTTATTAGGAATTTCTCTAAATGGTCTCAATTTTTTAGTAGGAAATTTTTATTATCTCTTTATGTAGCAAAGCAGTTTTTTTTCTATTACACTCAATAATGCACAAATCAGACATTATTATAGTGACCAGCAGTGTAATAAACAGCAGTGAGGTGATGATACGACGTGCAAATAAAGATGTTTTGAATTAAAGCACCTTTGTTAGAGGATTGTTCTGAATCCATAGTTGGTAAATGAAGCTGTGTTTTATGATGAAAGAGAACTGCTGCCGTTTTAACTGACTCCCTCTAAACTTGGGAGTATTTACCTCCTTTAAGAAAGCATCGCTGAAAAGTAGCTTAATTTGTTGCTTTATGAATAATAAATAGGCTGACAATGTCAGATTGTGACACTTTATCTCATTCTGATATAAATTACTGTTTCTGAAAGTGTTTTTTATGTGTGGTTGAAGAAAGTGGTAAAACATCAAATGTTGACAATTTGCTTGTAAAACTTGAAGCATTTCGGAGCAACTTGTTCTTCTTCGCACTGGTTTCTGCTGCAACAGTTAGTGACTCATCCTTTGCTGGTGTAGCCAAACCTAATAAAATCATGGCGTGGTTCTGGGTTTTATTTTTTATTTATGCATTCGTTTATAATTTTCTGCTGCCACCCAGTGCTCCAGCAAAAGGCCTGCATGGTCTTAGACGATGGTGATTCAGACATCATCTCCACAAGATTAAAAAAGTAAAGAGCATTTTAGAAGAGTATATTTTAATTAAGCCTTAAACAAGATTGGTTTAGTTGTTAATAAAGGTAATTACTTATCATCTTTTGAGAGGCAAGAGGTTGTCACTTATCACATTTTGCCTTGAAGAGTTCTTTGGCTGGTGGGTATCGATCATCTGATGAATCTTTTCCTAAAATGCGTGTGAAGGATTTCTCCCATACGAACGATGAAGGGCTTGTGTTGTAGCTCTTGCACATCTGTTCAGAGAACTTTGTCTTCAGCCACATTGAAGCCCTTCTTATGTCTCTGAGCTCTGTTATCTGCAGTGTCCTCCATGTTTTTTTATCAGAGCTGGGCTCACTCCACTTTCCTAAACAGGCCACGCACCCAGGTGGCATGTTGCTGTAATCTGCATCCTATCTGACTAAGGAAAGTTTAAATACTGCTTTAGGACTTTAGCATTTGTGGAGAATCCTGGAGATCCTGGAGAATTCTGGGGTGGGGTATCAGTGGAAGAAAATTAAGGAAAAACTACAAAACTGAAATTAGGGTTAGTTTCCTTTTACCCTGACTGCACGCATACTATATTTCAATAACCCCTCTTATACTATACAAAATGTATCTGTTCTTTTTATATTTCTTCTGACTTTATGTGTAGCTATCTGTCTTTCTATTTTTCATTTAAATTGTTAATATTTAATTTATTTCATTGTCTGTGGTTCACTTCCAGTATTCTAATCTACACCTTAGCTTGGGGCTGCTGTCAGTCGTACGGTCTCATAATCTGGAGGCTAAAAGTTTGAGCCTAGGTTGCATTGGGAAGGACGTCTGTCAGAAAACAATTGCCAGATCTTTCAACTCAACTCAACTTTATTGTGGTAAATTAAAAACATTACAAAAAAAGGAAAACAATATAAAATGGTAAATCAATTACTTTGTATTTGACAAAAAAGGAATAGGCTGAAGCCAATAAGGCTTATACTTGCCTGCCCTGATCATAGACTCAGCAGTCTACAGATATCTACTGTCCACATATATACATAAGTACACATACAGACGTTTACCGTATATTTAAATATTTAAATATGCATGTGTATAATACATACAGATACTCACATTACATGCATACATGGTTACACAATACATCTACATAACATCTCCATAAGATTTTATAATTTTACTTTTTAAGGCTCTTTTAAAGCTCACTAAAAAAAACATATAATTTGAAATCAATTCAATTCATTCCACAGTTTCACACCGATAACTGAAACACATCTACTTTACTCTTCTCTTTAGCTTGTTCAAATATTAACAAACCTCATAAATTATATTTCCTCTCTCTTAACTTTAATAATTCCAGAAGGAAGACTTTTAGTCAGTGCTTTATACATTATTTCCAGTGTTTTTATATAAACAATATCATTAAATGTTAAAGTATTACTTTGAATAATGAGTTTATTAGTTGGTTCACTATATCCCACTTTAATCTCTCATTCACCTTTGCTTGTTGTGGTGACTCCTGCAGGAGGGAGCAGCTGAAAGAAGAACAATCTGTCACTTAAGTAGTGTGTGAGGAAAAAACAGGATAATAATCAAGGCCTATCATTTCTTCAAGGAGTCAATACTGGCTGCTGCTTTTCGTGCCAGATCATTAAAGTAAGATCATCTTGTGTTGAAAAATTAAAGTTATTTTGATCAAACATTGAAAGCAACATCATGACAATCCCATATGCTCATATATGAGATATAATGCTCAGAGTGTGGGTTGTGAATAACTCTCAGCTACAACCAATTGCTCAGTTCCTCTAAAAACTGAGTTACTCTTTTTGAGGTGACTAATGAAAGATTATCTCCAAATGCTATTCAGTTGGAGCTGAATATCCAAGGATCACTCTCTGAAAGATTCAATGAAATACATGCAGTGATTTATGAAATATTTTGCTAACAAACAGGGTTGACTGCAACAGCTGATAATGTTTTTCGTGTTTAAGAGAAGAAAATCTGAAAAAAAAATGGATCAAAGGGAAACAAAACTTATATAAAATATCTGAAGGCGAGAAAAATGTTTCTTTGTTTGTTTTTTCCATAAATGCTACTGATTTTACTGTTCAGCTTTAAAACCTTCACTCGCTCGATCACTGAATTTTTCTGCGATCTGTTGATCTGCCCTGACGTCACATCCAGGAAAATAAGTCGAAAATCACAGCGCAGCCTGCGGAGTGTATTTTCCTAAGCAGACATGGTAAGTTTGAATGAAATTTATATATATAAAAAAAAAACCACTCTCAAATTTGAATTAGGTGATGTATTCACATGCACACAAAAACGTCCAGTTATTTTTAAAAGAGCTCAAATACAAAAAAATGTATTCAGAGTCTGCTAAAGTTAGCTAGCTAGTTTGCACTGTGAGTAAGCAAAACGGCTTTGGTAATTGTTAGCATTACCTTCATCGTGGCTACTAACACATGTAAAAGTATTAGGAGTTTGTGTTTACTCCTCACATTAAATAGCATTTTTACACCTCCAAATATCAATACAAGGAGTTTCTTATTCAGACGCGCAAATATTTGTCAGCGGGCTAACACTTTAGCTGCTGAAATTAGCTAACGAGTTAGCATCACCCAGCGATTTGTCGAGCCTGTACTTTCGTTTTCTCTCTCAACTCACCCATTTCTTGAAATAGTAATAAGGTAATTTGTCTATTCACCGCAAAGAAGTCGATTCCCTATGGTTATTTATTATATATATATATATATATTAGTATTTTTCAGATTATTATATTTTGCACAATGGTGCCGAACAGGACAGCAACATGATGGTAGACTCCGATGCTTGTTGTTGGTCGTTGATCAGAAGTATAAAGAAGTCTGAACACATGCGGGTTTTATCTATTATTTATTCATCACCGTAACTTTAAACCTTTTGTCTAGAAAAGTCCTGGCTGTAGACGATCCCTTAGCATTAACCCCGAGTGCTTTTGAAATAGCTCAGAAAATAGATAATAATGCAGGATAATTATGTAAGTTTGGCTCCAGGGTAGTGAAGATGCTCTTCAAATGACAATTATTTAACCTATCTCTCTGTTTTTATTCATAGTTTCGTAACCAGTATGACAACGATGTGACCGTATGGAGCCCACAGGTAAGTTTTCTGCAGGATTCACTGAATGTCGCCATCGCGTATCGTGTCGACAGCTTACTTTTTGTTTGTGTACGCTCAGGGCCGGATCCATCAGATCGAATACGCCATGGAGGCAGTGAAGCAAGGATCTGCAACTGTAGGACTCAAATCCAGAACACATGCTGTCCTCGTTGCGCTAAAGGTACGACGTTGGGTTTTGCAGTTTGCTGTATGAAGGTAGTAGGCAACTTCTTGTAATCTTGTCAGTTTATGATCACTTTGGATTGATGCAAACTTTAAATGTACTGGTAACTATTTTATCAAATATTAAAATGCTTGAAGCTCTTCAGGGACATTGTGTAAGACAATACGTTTGAATGCAGTCAAACCTTTTTATGGTGGCTAAAGACCTTTTTTATGGCATGTGTTGTGATCGTTAATATATCTTATTCTGCAGAGAGCCCAGTCTGAACTGGCCGCCCACCAGAAGAAGATCCTACATGTTGACAGCCATATAGGCATCTCCATCGCTGGACTGACTGCTGACGCCAGGCTGCTCTGGTAGATCACAAACTGCTTTAGATGACCAGAATAATTTGCTTAGTCATGCTTTGTATGTTTACTCAAAACAATCATAAATGCAATTTTACTGGGTTTAACCTGATAATATGTGTGTCACTATCAAAAAGGTGCAAATCTGAAGTGCATGCATGTGTAATTCAGAATTAAGAAATGAACATCACTAAAGTCAAATTGATCTCTGCCTGAATGATGTTTTTGTGTTAAGTTATATGTTATTTATCCTATGGAAGAAGAGTTCTTTAAACATGAACACTTTCTCCTCTACAGTAACTTTATGCGTCAGGAGTGCTTGGACTCAAGATTTGTGTTTGATCGGCCACTTCCAATCTCACGTCTCGTCTCTCTCATCGGCAGCAGTATCCTTTCTTACTTTTTGAAGTTCTCATACTCTCAGATTATCAACTGTACAACAGTTTAAAGTGTTGTGATGAATACATTATTGGAAACATAATATAAAAAGCATTACAATAAAAAATTAACGTGGCTGTGATGAACAGTGGTCGAGATATTTGCATGCACAGGAAGTAAACATGCCTGCATGTAAACAAAGCATTGCCACTACCTAAAAACACAGACCGTAGCAAAAAAATGGACGTTTCTTTAGATTATTTTGAGTCACTATCAGAAACTGATGAAGATTCAATCTGTATCAACAAAGACCCGGGAGTTCCACATTTAAGAGTTCTTCCCCTTTATTGTCACTTCCTGTTTTACTTTGACAGCACCAAGTAAAAACAAAATGTGCTAATTATGCGACAAAGTTGATAATATCAGGTGTATTGTGTGAAATATTCTTAAATATTAAAATGTTTTCTTCCACTTTTTAGAATTTGTAGGAAATGCATGTCACAGGCACTTCAAGGCAGCCATGGGCAAAATGTAAAATTAACTATATCCACATTTAAATGTCATAAAACTTGTGCCTTGCTATAAATATAAGACGCATTACATAGTTTTTCTGAGTTTACAGGGAACAAAAGTTGTTTGTTTGTCTGTTTCCATTAATTTAAAATAAGCATCAGTGATGATCCTTAACTAAAGCTTCAGAAACCCAAATCCCCACGCAGAGGTATGGAAGGAGGCCCTACGGCGTCGGACTTCTTATTGCTGGTTATGATGTAGGAGTCTTCACACGTGCTGTGTCTTTCATGTCTCGTTTGGTTGCACGTGCAGTTTTACCTGTACATCTGAAAGTATACCACTGCAGCTGATTGTGTTTGTTGTCTTACACAGGACATGGGACCTCACATCTTTCAGACCTGCCCGTCAGCGAACTACTTTGACTGCAAAGCCATGTCCATCGGTGCACGCTCCCAGTCTGCACGCACCTACCTGGAAAGGTTCATGGACAAGTTCTCGGACTGTAAGTTGTTGTTGTTTTTTAAAGCAACACACAAAGTGAATCCACACAGGGTCAGAATTATACATGCAGGCTCAAATAAATAAAAGCACCATAGCAAGTTAAACCTCGAGCGCACCATTATTTGACTGATCAACAAGATTCTGGCCAAGTCCTGGATGAACATTTCACCACAGTGTCCAGTGTCCCTTTCAGTGATGACAGACTCTGGTGTTCCTGCAGTCTCTCGCTCATGGCAGGCTGGAGCCGGGGGTGCTCCTGAACATCCTGACCACTTTCTTTTCATCTGGGACGGACACAAGAGTATTGGTCGACCCAGCGAGTGCCTGTCGGAACAAATCCCCGTTGTGCTGGAAAAGAGAAACTACCAGCTGCAGTTATTCATGATCACAAACGATAAGTGGATTGGCCTCGACCTTGTCAAAGCATTCTATAACCTTCAACACAAGCTGGGGACTGTGTGAATATTAGAGCCTGGATGCATTTTCTGACCCCCCCTGTGGATTAGAGAAAATCTGCAATAAATTCAAGCTAGTACACACGGATCTTTTAAAAATCATTGAGGTTGGGCGTTCTGTACCGGTAAGCATGTTGCCATAGAAACAAACTGTCATTAGTTGAAGACTGATACCCACGGTGTGTGATTATAGTAATCTGGTGCTGTAGATGTTGGATACCGTTAATCGTGTGAATGTTTATGAAGCATTCACACTATTGTGATCCATTTTTCGGCACATTTCTCATCCCGTTCAGCTCTTTCAGGACAATCCAGTTGTGACTTTTGGTTTTGGTGCAACTTTAGCTTTTTGACATGTTTAGCCTTTACTGCGTTTTTTTTTATTTTTCTCATAGAAAATGAATTGAGCTCATTTTCCATCCTTCAGATCTTTAGATCTATTTACAACCTTTTACTGCTCCTTTCACATTTTGTTCTGCTTCAGCTTCTTTCAGTTTCCTCACGCAAATAAAAAAAATCTGCACTTTTCAGCTAATTTCAGCTGTTTTGTGCTCCTTACAGATTCATTCTGCTAACTAAAACATTTTTGTGCTTCTAAACTTTTTTCTGCTAATATCAGCTTGTTATGCTCCTTTCAGGTTTCACCTTTTTCTACTATTTCAGCTACTATTTAGGTGTTCTGATGCAAATTTTAGCTTTTTCAGCTAATTCCACTTGTTTTTTTTTAGCTCATTTCAACATTTTCCAGTCTAATTCAGCAAAAATTTGCTCCACTTCGTTGTGGTAATTTCTGTTTTTTCAGTTTCTTTTCAGATGGTTTTGTTTGTTGTGTTTTTATTTTTGCCAATTTCAGCTTTTTCAGATAATTTCCACTTTTTGGTTCTGATATCTGCTTTTAGCAAATGTGTTCTTTCTGCTTTCTCCTGCCAATTTAAGCTTGTTCTACATTTTTAGCTAATTTCAGCTGTAATTCACTAATATTTGTGCTTATTTCTGATTATTTCAACATAATTCAGCAAATACACGTGTTCTTTCTGCTGCGTGACTTGTTCTTCAATTTCAGCATGTTTGTTTTTTAAGCTAATTTCAGCTGTTTTTCAGCAAGTTCTTATGCATTTTTGCAGGAAATGCAATTTCTCTAGTGTTCTGGTGATTATTTTCTCATCATGTTTTTAACACAAATCATGTTGAACAGAGTTTTTTGTTCATGGATTATTTTGTCAGGTAATCTGAATGACCTGGTGCAACACGGCCTCCGTGCTCTCAGAGAAACTCTTCCTGCCGAGCAGGACCTCACCACCAAGGTACCCAGCTTCTCCTCTGGCTTTAGGTCACACAGTATGAACAGATCACACCCAGTTATTAACAAGATGCAACCTGCACATGTGATCAAACATTTGTTCTGTACTGTGGAGGATTTGACACAAAAGCTGAGTTTCAGGCTGAAGTGTTTTTTTTTTAAAGAGGAAAACAGCAGTTTTTAACTTTCTGTCTTCTTCTTACAGAATGTTTCCATTGGCATCGTGGGAAAAGAAATGGAGTTCACCATTTATGATGATGACGATGTTGCTTCGTTCCTGGAGGGGCTGGAAGAGAGACCACAGAGAAAGGTGCATTAATTCGACCACAGATCATTTCATTACAAAAACGCTCATCAGTATAAGCATTTCTGTTGCTGCAGTTTGTGCACAATGTAAAAAAATCCAATCATAAGTTGGAAATCTTGCATGTTTTTGCAGGTTGCCCAGCCTGCAGAAGAACCTGCTGCTAGGGACGCACCTGACGAGCCAATGGAGCACTGACGTGCTTCCTGTTGATCCCAGACCGATCTGACACTTAAAGGAGCAGAATCTCAGAGGGGAAGGCCGCTGTCGCTGAGCTGTTGATTCAGATTAGTCTTTGCTTGCATCAACCCATGTGATGTTGCTTTTGTATGGGGAAAGTATACCATTATACTCCTAATAAACAGATTTTTTTTTTTGGAGTTGTGCTTCTGCTCATCTTTTCAAATAGTTCTGTTGTGACTTGGCGCTACAGAAATAAACAGAAGTCGTCTCGGCACTGAACAGAAACGTTCACCTGCAAATAACAGACGACTGGTAAAAGTTCTCGCTTGTTGAATCTTCACTTCGTCACAGTCTCCCATCCTGAGCAAACACAAAGGAGACAGTGGGAAGGAAAAACTCCCTGTAAATAGGAAGAAACCTCCAGCTGGTGTTTGAGAGGACAGGAAGGAGAAACGAACAGAACCAGGTGTATTTCTATAGGAAGAGACGAAAACTACCACATTTAAGGATAGAAATAATTACAAGTGCACGCAGGTAGAGCAAGTAAAGACGGCAACAGAGTGAGGAAATGTGTCGATTAGTCCTCCAGCAGTCTATAGCAGCATAACTAAGGGATAGCTCAGGAAACCCATAAGGTTTATCAAAAAGGAAAGTCTTAAAACTGGACGATGTGTCAGCCTCAGGGACGGAAACTGGTTCCACAAGAGAGGAGCCTGATAACAAAGATCCCCCATTCTGCTTTTGGAAACTAGGAACCACAAGTAAACCTGCAGTCTGAGAGTGAAGTGCTCTGTTAAGAAAATATGGAACTACAAGATGGAGCTAGGTTGTTGAGGGCTTTGTAGGTTTAAGTAAAATTTTGAATTCTATCCTGAATCTGACAGGAAGCCGATGCGACGCAAACGACATCCAGAAGGTGAATGTTGCAGTTTTCAGAGGTTCTGGGACAAAAACGAAAAGTGGTCAAGTCAAACTTCATTTGAATGTAGTTTTATTCCGTTGTGTTTTTCCACCAGCAGCTTTTACTTTTTACCAGTAAAGCTTTTTTTTTTTTACTTCTGACAGTTATGATCAGCAAGCAGTGGCCATCTTTGTTTTTCTTCACTGGTTGAATGAAGGGAGAAAAAATGAACGTCATGTTTGACCTAAACGGATTAAAAATTATCAAATGTTAAACCACACATGTCACCATCACATGTATAAACCACGTGAGGAAACAAATTGATGTCTTTACTGCACAAACCTGAAGTTTCTACTCACTTTAAACAGGTTAGGGAACTTGAATATAAAGGTTCTAACCTGTGAACATTTGACGTTGATGACAATAAACTGATCCTCGAGTTTCTACGGTGGGGCCATTTTATTAAATGGATTGTTTTAATGCTGCTTTCGGGTAATTTAAAATGGAATTACGAGTAATTTCAAACTACCCCGCACACTTTCGTACAGATTACCAGAGGTGGTGATTTATTTTCATGCTACCACCAGTTTTCATGCGACCGGCCTCGTGAGAACGGATTTAAACGTCCCGTCGAACAGGCCTCTGAGCTTCTGTCTCACTGTGCAGCTTTCTTCGCTCTTCTCCTCTTCCTCTGCCTGACCGCGCTGCAGGAGGTTTCTGTTTCTGCTGCAGGGGTGGAGGCTCCTATCAGCTGCTCCGACGTGGAGGTCGCATCCAGCGCGAGCTCCTTCAGGACCTCGGCTTGTTGCTCCTCACTCTGATCTTCTTGCTCGTGCACGCGTCCCTCTGGAATCACGTCCGTGTCCGCCGCAGTGCTCAGACCCTCCGCTCCATCGGCCTCTCCTGCTACTGGACCGTGAAGGTTTCCCGTCTGCTCGTCTTTTTCTGCTCTTTCTTCCTCGGACGCTGCTGCTGGGCGGTGCTGGCAGCAGCAGTGGGTGTGCTCCCAGTATGGATGGAGTTCCTCATATTCTGCAAGAGGTAATAAGATGTGTAAAAAAAAAAAAAAATCAGTGATCTGTTTTAAGAGTGTGCAGTGTTTACGCACCGTCCCAGGCTTCCTGGGTCTTCTTCTCTGGCAGGACCCCCTCCACCAGCTGGCCTTCCTGCATGACCCGAGTTATCTCTGTCAGCTGCTGCAGGAGACTCTCCTCTTGGTCTGCCGTCACTCCCGCCATCCTGCCGTGCACACATTTAAACCGTTTATCTGTCTGAACTCAATCTCTGCCCCTTTCATCGACTGTCGGCGACTGGTCGAAGACACAGAACTGAGAAATAAAGGAGACAATTTTTACTTCCACTTCCACCGACCTGGTACTTGGGACACAAACCAAACTGTGAATATGTTGAATGTTGTGCAAACATTTTTATTGCAGTTTAGTCACAAAGTGTCTCAGTTTGGTCTCAATTTATTTATTTATTCTCGTCTTGAATCCGTCATGGTCTGGTTTCATAGGTCACCAAACCCTCTCCAAGTGTTCAGGGTTTTCCACACCTCTCAGGAACTAAAGTGACATGGGCTCCAGACAGCCGCCACTTCTCTGTGTTGAGAGGAAACTACCGTATGTTCCAGCGTATAAGTCGCATCAGTCAAAAAAACGCATCACGAAGAGGAAAAAACATACATAAGTCGCATTTATTATGCATCGCCGCTGACCTGTTGCGTTTATTTAATGGTCAAAACCGCTTCATTTCGCCTGGGGGGCACCATCCGTCCACTGTGGCCGGAGCTGCTAGCTCTCCAGCGTTCCTCCGCCTGCTCCAGCTGAGTGACGCGAGTGCAAACGGAAATTTAAAGCCTCCGTCAAAAATTATGAATACGGGGGGAAAAAAAAGTACAGTATTTTTCGGCCTATAAGTGGCGTGTTTTTGCATAATTTGCATGCCCTATGACGTATACGCCGAAACGACATATTTATGGATTTTTTTCCATATTTATAAACTAATTTTCAGCTGAGATATGACCGTTTTCATTCATTCTGACTGAAAATATTGAACACTACCATTTTCAGCTGCTAGATCGCATTCAAGTTGTATGGCATGCTGTTGTGTCATGTATTAGGTAAAAGTGGCTATTAATGACACAATCTGCTTGCCATACAATGACACCTTTGTCCAGCTCGCCTGGAGCAACCGTCAAATCAGCTTCATTTCGCTGCACCGCCCCGGTGAAATGCAGCTAATTTAACCATTGAAGTGCATTTATTAAGTGAAAGTTCACGCACCTTTACTATAAAGTGGAGCAAACAAATAATTGTTTTTAGGTGGTTATCTTGTTAAATTTCAAAGAAATTGACCGAGTCGCCCTCTGCGCATTCATGTTTCCACGTATCGGCTTTTGAAAATGCAGCTGATTTGACGTCAAAGTGCATTTATTAAGGAAAAGTTCAACTGAGACACACCTTTAATATAATTTCGAGCAAACAAATAATTGTTTTCAGGTGTTAATCTTGTTAAAGTCCTCCCGTGCACGCGCCCGCGGCCACCATTTGGCAGCCAATCGATTTTTGGCACAACACCGGCCCACATTTCCGTGTGGTCAGTGGTGACACACAACAGATGCGACGTATACAGCGGAAAATACGGTAAATAAGTTGCTTTGGCGTAAAAATCGCAGGACTGACAAATCTACGCAAAAAAACTGTGACTTATATGCCAGAAAATTCGATTTAAGAACCAATTTTTCAAACGTGTTCAAACTTCCTGCAGCACTAATGAGGAAAATGTTTTGGGACCATTTTGAAAGCTTAATTTTGAGGTTTAATTTAATCTAACCACTTCTACGTTGCATCTTTATTTTATTTTCCAGGGTTAAAATAACCACAAATCAGAAAAATGCTAGACAGTATGAAAAACTCAAAATTAAATGTCAACACTTTTAAGAAAATCTTTTTTTTTTTTTTTTTGCTAAAAACATAAATTCTATTCACTCCTGCTTTTGAAGCCTGCAGCACATTTAAAAAGCAGTTAGGACCTAGGTATTTTCTGACTGGTATTTGGTCCAAAACACATTTCAAACCAGTGATTGAACCACGCAGCAAAAGCTGGAAGTCTTTTTTTTTTAATCCTAAACGTTTTCTACAAGCACGAAATGTAGGAATCTGACATAAGCAAGTGATTCCTGACTGTAAAAACACAAAGTGTCCGAGTGTTCAATTTCATTAAAAGGTGCGCGCCCACCTGTCAGGTCTATGGTGTGCGTGGGAAACGATGTTCTCCATCACGAGCTCCGTCTCTCTCAGTTTCTCCTGCAACTGGGCCAGCTCAAAGTCAGCTGGAGAGCCAAGAAGAGAGACGTAAAGAGAACGATAAAAACAAGTTTAAAAACACAGACGACACTGATCAGGGCTCGGAGGTTGTTGTCGATGCGTCAAGAAATAACCAGCACTGATCGTTTCCTCATCACAAAATGAACTCGCACAAATAACATGAGAAAACAAATTGTCATTTATTTATAATGTATCGCACGTAAACTTTTGATTCTTCTCTGATTTATGCACCAAGACCTTGTTTTGAAACCGACAGAGCGGAGAACGGATCCTGCAAAGAGGGATCTACCTCCAATCCACAACAGATGCTGCAAATGATGCATCAGCACTTTGGAAGAGAAGCGCTTTACATCCAACAGAGTTTAAAAAACAATGAATAGAAATGTAGAAAGGAGGTCAAATACTGTGGTGCTGTAAACTCACTGATCTTTCTCTTGGTGTTTTCAGAGCGAACCGCAGGAAACCTTCTGTCTGACGGTTTGCTGCTCCCTTTAGATGTGATCTAACAGAACAACAAGAAACAAATCTCACATTCCCATTCATCTCACTTATCCCTGTTCTATCAAGTGCATTTGTTTGCTTTTGAATAAGGAATTATGTTTTTAAGCTGGGTTTTACCTTAAATAATATGTAAAGGATGTACAGTAAGATCCCAAAGCCGTACACGGGGATGATCTGTCCTGCAAGGTTAGATTTGCCTCCAGTTCCTGCTCCCGTCCCTGCTCCTTTGGCCCTGGCTATGGCCTCAGTGTTATGGGCCCTGGAGAGGCCGGCCCCTGCAGCTCGCTGGCCTCGACCCTCTGGAGCTGCCTGACGGTGCATCATGGGAGGGAAACGACCTGAACCTACAGGAAATAGTGAAAGATAACTTGAAAACCTGAATGTTTTAATGGTCGAAACACAAGAAAATCTCAAGTTTTCTTTTGTTTTGTGAGATTTTGTGTCTGTCAGGGAATATTTAGTCAAAGGTTGTAGATGGTTTTATTATTATAGTGGAGAACATTCTGCCCTGAGAACAAGAAGCCCAAAATAAGCCGAAAGCATCTCACAAGACATTTTATCTCTGCCCATGAACCATATGTTTGTGTAAATGGAGAGGCTTCAATTGGCTTCAAGGACACCCCCTGAACTAAAAGCTTTTTTTTTATGTATGTTTTTATGTTGTGCTTGTAACCTCTCCTGAAATTTGACCTTGCAAATATAAAATACAGCTTAAAATCTTCTCCTGCCGTGGAGCGTAGTTCTTTTGGGTCAACAATGTTAGTGAGAGAGATTTTCTCCAACAGTGTCAAACTGTGCACAATGTTGTTTTTAAACCACTGGGTAAATAAAATTAGGAATATGATTCAGCTTCTCAACATTTTTGATTCCTAGTGTGCCTCAGTACTAGAAGATCATGGTGAGTAAAAAAACTCGTTCAAATAATTTAAGAAATCTTTTTTTTTTTTTTTTTTACCAGTATTGCTGTTTCTTTACCTAAGAAGATGGACTTTATAAAAGTTTAAAAGTCTAAACAATTTATGGGTTAATAAATTTAATACTTTTTTTGTTTTTTCATATGCTGATTTATTTTTGAAAACGTGAAAAATAAAAAAAATGTGTGAAAAATATAAAGTGTGGTTTTGGCGCCACCATCTGGGATGAAAGTGTAACTACAAGAGCATTGATGTCCTGCTAATAAGATGGATTTGAATAGTAAAAATAAAAGTTATTCCGAATTTAGTTAAGCTAATAATTTAAACTGTTCTCGTCGCTATCCGAACTATTATAATACAAAAAGCAGAGGCTGTTTAAAGCTTTGGGAATACGTGAATGGTGACGCACCCTCCGGCCGCTCCGCAGCATCCTTCCTTCCTCTGGATAACAGCATCTTGGGAAGCAGCAGCGCCACGCACAGCACGAGGCACGTCACGAGGGTCACCTTTTGAAACGTTGACATCGCCATAATAACAGACGCACAGTTTTCCCACGAGCCTAAAAAAAAGATGATATGGCAAAACAGCATTAAGAAAATAGAGAAGACATGATGAGTCAGGTTGACTTCCTTGTTTAGCTGGAAAACCGGAAGTGCGCCTGAGTGGTAATTACAACAATTTACCACAGGGTGGCGCCAAAGTACAGCGTTTGATTTACAAGCGGCGAAAATTTTAAAATGTGTTGCTCCTTTTGACAGAGTATTAATTTGATAATAATTGTCCATTTTGTCCGAATTTATTCGAATATTTTTTATGAAAGTGATTTTTTTTTGTTGTTGTATGAATAGCCTTTCTAATAAATGATATATTTGGTGACACAGCTGGTAGTCGGTTTCTATTTTCATTGCTCACTTTCACTTGTAAATTTTTTTTTTTTATTTATTTATTGGCTGTTCACTTTAGAGGCCTCTTCAGCAAACCATTTGCCTCCACAGTATCCCTGACACCCTCCTGCCACACCAACCCTCTGTAGATTTTCCTTCACTACATCCACAAATTGTCTCTGTGGTCAGCCTTGCCTCCTTCCTGCCACCTCCATCACAGCATGATGCTACCACCACCATGCCTGACAGCTGACAGTGTTTTGTTTTTCATCGTAGGGCATACTACTTTCCTGCTGAGAGTGGAGATTGACAAACTGTGAGTCTGATTGGTCTTCAGATAAAATTAAATGTGATTGTGAGGATTCAGGTTTTGCTTGTGTGTGTGGTTTGTTTTAAATTGTTGGTTCTCTTAATTTCTAGATCAGTTTTGTTTTGTTTTTTTCGTCACTGCAGCATTTCATTCTTGCTTTATAAAAAAAATAAGCCAACTTCTCTGGAGCCTGACTTTGGCACAAATGGCTCACCGTCTGCCAAACAGAGTTTTTCTTTATAAAGTCAAAATTAAGCAACTCAGCAGGTTCTCCTGAATGAGATCATGATAGGAGTATTATTGTATTTATTTATATTTCGATTAGAAAACAGAATCTAGTCTTCCATAGTTTCAGTCTCGCAAACAAAGAGATATGAAGGGGGAGATGACATGGGATCAGCAATAATCGAGTAAAAGTGAAGACAGCGATCATATCAAAACATGTACTGTGCAATAAATATGAATTGCAACGCTGTATTTTCAGATTTTAAAACTATTTTTCATAAAATAAATACATCTTAAAAGAGAAATCTTTTTCACGTCCTGCATGAATTTTTTTTATCATGTGCTGTTGAAAGATAGGCCATAATCTTTTTGCCTGTGTTTGTGTGTGCATGTGCACAAGTGTTTGCAAAATATCTCCAGAGCCACTGGACATATGGTAATGGAATTTTCATGAATTGATCATTGAATTTACGTCTACAACTCGTTATCTTTTTAAGTCAACCCATTTCATGTTAGCCGCCACAGTGAAATGATGTTATAAAACAGAAATGGCTGAAACTCGGTCAGTTTTACAGACATTAGGCTAAAATTTGTTGTAGCAGTAGTAGAGTGTAATCTCCACCACAAGCATGTGTTGTACAAAATATTTTATTAAAACTTTGGCATTGACTCAGTTCAATTCAGTTCATTTATATAGCGTCAAGTCACAACAGAAGTCGTCTCAGGGCACTGACATGGCATAAAACGCCAATTAAAAGTTTTCTGTCTAAGGAAACCAGCAGAATGTGTTGAATCTTCACTTTGTCGCATTCACACATCCTGAGCAAGCACAAAAGGAGACAGTGGAAAGGAAAAACTCAATTTTAACAGGGAGAAACCTCGAGCTGAAACAGGTTCAGGACGATTAGCCATCTGCTTCGACCAGCTGGGTTTGAGAGGACAAGAAGGAGAAACAAACATGCAACAGCAGGTCCAGGTGAACTTTCTATAGGAAGAGAGACAAAAAAAAAAACATTTTAAGGATAGAAATATAAAAAATACACACAGGTACAGTAGAGCAAGTAAAGACAGAAGCAGAGTGAGTAAATTTGTCTTCCAGCAGTCTCTATAGCACGATAACTGAGGGATGGCTCAGGAAACCCAAGCCAACGTTAACTATAGGATTTATCAAAAAGGAAAGTCTTAATCCCAGTCTTAAAACTGGATAATGTGTCATCCTCATGGACAGAAACTGGAAGTTGGTTCCACAAGAGAGGAGCCTGATAAATGAAACCTCTTCCTCCCATTCTACTTTTAGAAACTCTAGGAATCACAAGTAAACCTGCAGTCTGAGAGTGAAGTGCTCTTTGAGGAAAATCTGGAACAATAAGATCTGAAGATGGAGCTAGGTTGTTGAGAGCTTTGTAGGTTAGAAGTAAGATTTTGAATTATATTCTGGATTTGACACAGAGCCAATGGAGCGAAACTAAAACTGGAGAAATATGATCTCTTCCGCCATTTCTCATTAAAACTTTGGCAGCAGCATTTTGGATCAACTGAAGACTTTTTAAAGAAGTTTTTGGACACCCAGATAATAAACCATTGCAACAGTCCAGTCTAGACGTGACAAATGCATGAACCAGTTTTTCTGCATCATTTTTAGATCAGATGTTTCTAATTTTAGTGATATTACGCAGGTGGAAGAAGACGGTTCTAGTAACATTTTTAATATGGGGGATAAAAGACATGTCCTGATCAAAAATAACACCGAGATTTTTAACATTAGAGCTGGAGGCCAGATTAATGTCATCCAGAGGAAGTGAAAGGCTGCAAAATTTAAGGTCCTCAGGTCCAAAAACCAAAACCTCAGTCTTGTCTGAGTTTAAAAGCAGAAAATTTAGGGTCATTATGTCTTTAAGACATGCTTGTAGTCTAAGTAGCTGATTAGATTCACTGGGTTTCATGGACAAATATAACTGTGTATCATCAGCATAACAATGAAAATTTATCGCATGCTGTTTAATATCTTTACCTAATGGAAGCGTAGACAAGGTAAATAGTATTGGTCCAAGCACTAAACCCTGAGGAACTCCATGACAAACTTTAGTGTATGAAGAAGATTCATTATTTAATTTACCAACTGAAATATATCAAATAGATATGATTTAAGCAACTTTAGACCTGTTCCTGTAATTCCAACATCATATTCAAGCCTCTGGAGTACAATATTGTGATCAACTGTATCAAATGCAGCACTGAGGTCTAACAAGACCAGTATAGACACAAGGCCATTGTCAGACACCATGAGAATGTTCAGTTCAATTCAAAAATACTTTATTAATCCCAAACGGAAATTAAATGTTGTTGTAACTCATCATCCTGGTTTCATTAGAGTTGTTATAGATGTTGATGGCTATGGGCAGGAAGAATCTCTTGAAGCGGTCTGTCTTACAGCGGATCTGAAAAAAAAAAGGTTGCACATGTTGATCCATCTATTTGGACTTCTCTGTCTTCTTGGGCAGCCGGACCACCTGAACGTTGGACAGAACTCCTCTCTAAGAGATGGTCACTCCTCCCAGCGGCTAGTTGAGCTCCTCGTCGTTGCAGACAGCCAGCTGCAGGCGACGGGGGATGATCTGGTCTTCTTGTTGTCACAAGCCACGTTTCCTGCCAGTTCCAGGATCTCTGAGGTCAGGTACTCGAGCACAGTCGCCAGGTAGACGGGAATGCATCCACAGCGCCTCCTTTTCGACTAATTTGGGATTTGGGCCTGTAGTGTACTTAAGGTAATATTTGAGCTTTTGAGACGTTAATCAGCTGCTCTCATTTGTAAGCGAAAAAAAAAACATTGTTGTCATGGTTACGCATCATAACAAATGTCCAAAAGTAAAAAGGTATCAGTAAAAATCCTTCCAAATGCACAACATCCAATACCAGAGCATATAATCAGAAAAAGAGGAATTAAAGTTTTCAAAAGCAAAATCTCAGAACGAATGTAGAACTGCTCCAACATGCAGCGCAATTAAAGAACACATAACTGCAATAATATTAATATTTCTCTGCAATATCAGTAACCTTCACCAGTTCTGTTTCTGTGCTACGATGAGCTCCAAACCCCGACTGAAACTCCTCAAACAGATTATTTCTGTTCAGATGTTCACACAATATTTTGCGATAGATTAGATTAGATTAGGTCTATAATTGGCCAGAATTCCTGAATCAAGATCTGATTCTTAAGAAAAGATTTAATTACAGCAACTTTAAAGGGCCACAGTGCATAACCATTCATTAGAGACAAATTAAACAGATCTAAAATGGGGATATTAATTAGGGGACATAAGTATGTAAACATTCTGGTTGGGATGGGATCTAGCAGACATGTGGATGGTTTGGATGAAGCGATTATTTTGGACAATTCAGAGCTCAACAGGACAAAAACAGTCCAAACATAAATCAGGTTCTAGTGACATTTTTCAAGTTGCCTCATCTAACGGGGAAATTTGCCCTCAGTTAATGATTCTCACCTGCCTCCCATGTTCATTAGTCTCAGCTGTCTCCACTTGTAATCACCCTTCTCAGCCTACTGACACACCTGGTGCTCCTCTTCTCATTACTCTGTCACACTGTTGGTTCTCCCATCTGTTCCCAGCGTGCGCCCCGTTGTTTGGTTCTCCTTGGTATTTGTTGGCTGCCCAGTCAGCAACTTCTCTTGTAATAAAATCCTTGTTTGTGTTTTTTAAATACATTTAATCCTTGTGTTAATCTGCATCGTTGGGTCTTTACAAAACCATTTTACGACATGATTAACTTTTGGAGAATATTCAGATTGAGATAATTACCCAAAATGACCTTAAAAAAAAAGGTTTTAACTCTGTCAAGATACAAAAATGCACCTAAAATATGGAGTGGTAGTAGCTGAGTCAGTCTCACATATGCTGCGAGCACTAACGGAGCTCTAACAGAGATTTTGAGATTGCACATGAGGTTATGTTGAAGATTTTACCAAAACAGCTTTAACGCTCAGTCCTCAACATAAGCTGATCTGAACTTGAACGCCCGTCAGGTTTTAAGTTGCAGGACGCAGGAATGCAGACGTAACAAGGAGATAAAACTAAAATGTCATGATCACAAACAAAACGCTACAACTACAAACTAAACTCAAGAGATTTAGAAAAGCAGCACGGTGGCTCAGTTGGTAGAGCTGTTGCCTCTCAGAGAGGTTGCTGGATCAAATCCCAGCCTGGGTGGAATTTGCATGTTCTCTCTGTGCATGAGTGGGTTTTCTCCGGGTACTCCAGTTTCTTCCCACAGACCAAGAACATGCATGTTAGGCTGATTGGTAACTCTAAATTGTCCCTAGGTGTGAGAGTGAATGGTTGTCTGTCTCGTGTGTCCCTGTGATGGACTGGAGACCTGTCCAGGGTGTCCCCCACCTCTCGCACAGTGACTGCTCAACACAGGCACCAGTGACCACCTGAAAAGAAGAGGTAAAGATAATTGATGGATGGATGCTGTTGGGAGAAAAATATTCTCCCTTTTCTTACTTACTCAAAAAGAACCACACTGGACGGCAGATTTTTCACCAGTTTACTTGCAAGTTCAGATTTTCAGGTTACATAAATATACATAAAGTACACACATGAAGACCAGTCACGAGAATCTGTCCCGAGCTGCCTTCTCAGCTTGCTTCTATAGCCTTATCAGTTCAGCAGAGTTCGCAGAGCGCAGGCGTCCTTGGCTGCCGTCGCACCCAGCTCCTCTGCTAACACAAACATATGGTCCATGGGCAGAGATAAGACTCAGCCATAGTAATAAAAACACCCCAAAAATTCTCTAACATACGGAGATTTAGAAAAACAGAGCAGGGCATAAAGCACACAATGACAGAATGAAGACTGAGACTGGGACTGCGGAGGCAAGTGTCTGCAGCTGAGATGAACAAGAATGGGGAACAGGTGTAAGAGGAGGAGCATGACTGAGGAGCAGAGGCTGACTGGGGGAAAGTAGTGAAGATGTTTAAACACTGAATGTGAGTAAAATACAGAACATAAAGTATAAACAAGAGAAGTGACTTTTAAAACACAAAACCAAACACTGAAACACAAAGATCATGACGCTGGAATGAAAGACGGCGAGCAAGATCCATTTTTCAAGGATCGCTAGGTCTTTAATTTTAGTTGTTTTAATCTCCACACGCACAACGAAAAGGATCACGTCATGTAACATGTGGAGCTTTACCTTGACGACTGCTGTCTTGGTGATGAGCAGCAAACATTTTTATAATTCTGTCTTTAAAACCTACTTCCTGCCGTAGCTGTAACTACACCACGTGGATAAATCAAAACAGAAAATGTGAGTTTAACACCAAAGTTCGTGCTCAATAATCCAGGTATAAAATCCAAAAATGTTAAGTCGGATCATCTGGACGGTTTCTGCTGAGACGTTTCGTCCTTCATCCAAAGGACTTCATCATTCCGAGAAGCCACCAAACAAAACTGATTCCCACTAACGGCATACGCCATAGTGGGAAAAAAAACAGTTTGCTGGTGCTAAGATGGCCTCTGGGGCACTCTTCTCTTTGTCCTTTGGATGAAGGACGAAACGTCTCCACAAAAAAAGAAACCATCCAGATGACCTGACTGAACATGGTTGGATATACCTGGATTAATGAGCATGAACTTTGGTGTTTTTGAAACACTTTGACATGACTGTCTCAGAGGAGTTTACAAGGGAGAGGGCGGGCCCCGGAGAGGGCGGGCCCCAGAGGAGAGGGTGGGCTACGGAGGAGAGGGC